CGCGCTCTGAGGGCCGGCCGCCTGAAAACAGTTCCTCGGGCCAAGCCAAAGCCCGGCCCCGCGCATTGCCCACAGCTGCACACGTACTTCAGCCGCCACCTTGCTGTCAGGGGAGTTACAAACCCCTCGGGTCAAGAAACGTGCCAGGAGCTGGGCTGAAGCCAGAGCAGCATGAATGGAAGGCCCTAAAGATCTCCTAAGATGGAATGACCTCAAAGGTTAAAATATTCAGAAACAAGACACAGGAATAAAGAGTGGTATCTAAAGACAGTAAAATGCTGTCAGTCTCTGTAGAGAACACCTTGTTTTACATAAGCCAGAGGCAGGTTTAGACAAAGATCAAAGCATTGAGTTGTCCCCAATAACCTGCGGTGATTCTAATACTAAGGCACCACCTCCAGGACAATTTAAATGTAAAGGTAGGAACAACATAGTCTAACAAATTAGGCAATAGTCTATTGAATTAGGTAATTGATGTGTACAAAGACTTAGCTGTAACCAGTTGTATCTAGTTTCTTTGTTATTGGTACTGTATATAAACTGCTGCTCTTGGAGCTATTGGGAGTTGGATTTGACCTCCACTGTGGAGGAGGCCAGCCGCGAGAAAAGTGTCACATACTGACAGCATAGCAAGAACTAAACTACAACAAATTTGTAAATACGTTTTCTTTTTCATTAATAAATATTGCTTATTTTAGCGCTGCCCTTAGCATGCCAGCTGTCTGGAAATTCACCTCCCAAGACAGCACTTCTAAACTCTCTTTTTCTGTTTTCAGTTTATGTTTTCACAACTGCCATGCATTTCAGTCAGTTCATCTTCATATTGTCTCCATCCCTCTCCTCCAGGCCAAAAGACCAGCGAGCACTAAGGTGGTATCATTCCTCTGCTTCCACCAGCAGGTAAGACTTAGCGAAGTTTGGATGCACCTCTCTGAAGGGGCTATGGCCACGCATAAACCTTTGCATTAGTTACAAAAGGACAAGTTTTACCTCCCCTTATGATGTACCTGACAAAACAGGAAGGCAGTACTACAGATGGGCCATGTGTAGGTTTCTTTGACCATCTCCAGTGTAGGCTTTACCACAACTAGTGCTTCAGATTTCACTTTCAGCCCAGCACTGGGTGAAGGGGCTACTACCCTTGAACCTTGTTGTCTTACTCTGAAACCCATCATCATGACATGCAGAGGCCCAGAACAAGACCACTGTCACCTCTGTGTTCTCAGTTCTTACCTGATCTTGATGCACTACAGATAACATTTCTCTTAGCTAGTTCTTTTATCTATCTAGCATTTAACTCTGGCTACTTATCAGTGTCTGATGATTTAAATCATGGCATTTAACAATGTATTTAGGAAATAAAAAAAAGACCACACAACATTTTTGAAGTAACAGACAAAAATAAGTTATTTACAAGTAATATATACAATAAATCTACTACCGTGATAGGCCTTTATACATTGTAACTGCACTAAGTTTTTGCATTGTTTTTAAAAATTTCCTTAAACAGAAATTGTTCAGAATTAGGAGTTTGTCCATACACGTGTATGAGAAATACAATAGCTTTTCACATTTTTAAAATTACCAGCGCCATTTACAGGTTTTTTTCCCCTAAAGTGAAGATTTAGAAACAGTGCAAGCTGGAACACAAAGACAAGTAGCTATGAATACTGAAATAATCATTTTGGAACACACTAGTGTTTCAAACTACAAATCTGTAAGAAAAATCCCAAATATTTGGCATGATCCCTTCACCAGCCACCCCTGAAAGGTCAAAGCAAGATAGCCTTTTAAAGTAACAGTGATTATTGCATATTATCTTTGGAAAAGCAGAGTTTTAACCAAAAATATTTTTAATCTAGTTGAAATATAGACCTATTTATCTCAGGGAGGAAAGAAAAGCACAACATACAATCAGTAATGTTATCAAATCAGTCCAGTTAATTTGTTCCATCCTTGCCTGGAGTAACCCCCCATACCTCAGACGGTGCAGCTGAATGAACGGTGCTACAGCAAGCACAAGAATCCAGTTTTCCATTACCAACTTTTCATTCTGTGTGAAGTCCTTTAAGAACGTTGGTCTTAACTTATTAAACCCTCATTTAAGTGCTGACAGGTAAATTACCATACATTTCAAAATGATACAACAGGGAAAACATTTACCTTCTTTAAACCAGGATATACAAAAGACAATTTGCATAGTTACAATTCAAGCACAAGTCACTGTAAATAGGTACAAAGGCATTTATAAGTTTACTAAATTTGCTGCTGTTTGTGCCAGCCAAATCTTAGAAAGGTACGAATGTAAACTTGAAGGGACTGATGAGAACAGTCAGTGTTTTTGCTTAAAAAATATGTAGAGAATGCTTTTAAAAGGTTTTAAAAAATATTTTCTGCAGCAGGAACAAACAGTTCACTCCCCAAAGCAAACCATCCAAAATGCCCAAATTCCTCCTATACAGCAGAGAAAGTTTGATCGTGGTTCACACCTACATACAGCAGGAGGCAGTAGCTGTGCTGCCACGGAGGGTGTCCGTAACCCCACCGCTGCCGGCTCCTCAGCCCCTAGGAGAACATGTCCTCAGAAGGGGGCGCGTAGGAGAACCCAACAAACGCGTCGTCCGCCTCCAGGACACTGGCATTGACAATGTTGAAATTGGAAGAAACACAGACTGAGTACGGGACCATTTCTTCTGTAAACACTGAATCAAAATTCCCAATATCATCTGGTCCAACCTAGAAGACAAGAAGATCTATCAGGTATCATATTAACACTGTGTTTAGAACTTGTTCTTGTCCCTTAGATTCCAAATTTAACTCCTCAGGCCATCTAAGTTATGTCTGTCTTTTCTGCTGCAGCACAGGAAATTTAAGGAAGTGCACCACAGCATCCCAGAAAACAGCTGTTAAAAGCCTGCTTGTTTCTTTTAGGCTGGAGTTCAGGCCAAGGCCTGCACACCTTATGATCTGATAAAGCTAAAAAACATGACAAAAAAGCAGGAAACCATCCTTTTGGGAAGTCTTCAAATGAAACAGATTATCTGCGTTTTCTCCTTTGGTCTTCAGACCTCACAAAAATTGAGAGCACTCTGACAGGAATGAGCAGAGGCAACACCAATAAGTCAAATGGAGTTTGAAGTTAGTAAAAGACAGTATTGCTGCTCAATAGTGTGACTGTTCCAAAGGCCAGTCAGCACTGCGACATTCCCATTCTTCACCATTCAAAACAAATTTCTTTGCAAACACAGGAGCCCTCAAAGGCAGAAACATGGCAGGTTTGAACTAAACCCACACCAGGCACCTACCACGTTCGGGTTAAAAGGTGGTGGAATCTTCTTCTGAAGCAGGTCAGTCCAGCTGAGAGATTCAAAGAACGGGTGCTTCTGAATTTCAAGCTGCAGTAAGGAACAAAGATTTTGGGTATGTCAGAAACCTATTCTGTGCATCATAGTAAATAGTACTTCAAACTGCATGCTCATAAAGAAGTTAAGTCCTTCACCAGTTTATTTATTCTGTTTAAATTTCCAATAAAGGCTGCAGTTGGTAAAAACAGCAAGTAAAATTTGTTAGCCTGCCTCTATGAACTGGTTTCCTTTTAAGATCGTATTTTCTGCTGTTAAGCCTTAAAATCAACCACAAGACTGTTTTTCATGTAGGTAGTTAAACTGGTATTACCAGAAAATAGCCTTTTCTTTTGATTCTTTCCCAATTTCATTACTAACAGTGGAACCTACCAGAGTGACTCCTACACTGGGAATTGTGTTCCCCTTGCTGGCAGGTGAAGCTGCAACCAAGCTCAAAATATTTATATGCCACAACAATCTCTGCTTTCCCAAACAGCTTTCAGGGACTGACCACACTGATGGCTTTAACTAAGAAATAAAAAGGGGGACACCAGAGACAGGCATAAGAGAGTAATCTCCTCCTCCAGCTATTAAACGTGTGCTGCACACATCCATGTGTTGATGTCCCTTTAAACCAAGGAGGGCTTGATGAACTAGAACATGACATACAAAGTCTTCCCTTGCTCCGAGCCTGCTTTGCCGATCCTTCTCCAGAAGTTCTTCCAGAATAGACCAGGCTGTAAGACTGATTCCTGGGCGCAGAACTAGGGGCTTATGAAGAATATTCTCATACATCTCAGCAACATCACGGCAGTAAAAAGGAGGCTAAAAAACAAAAGCCGTACATGAATGTCAAGGCACATGCAATATTTTGTTTCACGTGTATGATCAGTAAATGAAAAACACAATGAGAAACAGAAACTGCTAGCAGTAAAGAGGAAATCTGCCTCCTCTTACACACTGCTAACTTCTAACCCAGCCATCAGCACTGCCAGATCTTTGCACCTGACAGCTTCCCCACCCGCCTCCTCTTCTCCTGATACCTTCTCACGCTCCTAAGGAGCCACAGATGCCATCCGGCTCCAGAGCTCCCACTGAACTCGCCTGAAAAGAGCATGAAAGTAGGAAATCCAATCTGTCTCCCTATTTAAGGTCCTATGAGAAGGGATAAAACTCAGGGATACTATCAGAACAGATTATTACTGCAGTAATTACATATGACTAGAAGAAACATAGTAAGATTTTTTTTCTTCTAATAGTGGAGAAAACCTAGGAGACCTAAATACAAAAATGTCCTTTACTTTTCTTTATTCCAGTATCTGGCGAAATTTTACTTGTAAATTGGGGGTTTTATTGGGCATTATGACTGTTGATTCAGTTGACTCTCACATTCCCTCAAAGTGATGACTATTTGTGTTCACCGGTTACTCCCAGCAGTTCACTGGAAAGTGAAATTTTAAACATCAAGAGGCAACGCAAAATCCAGAAGAGTAAAGCAGGTGCTGTGTTAAGTACCAGACAAACAGTTCAGCCATTTCAGGGGAAGTATTTCAGTATTTTTCAACAGCTAGCATCTTTAACAATGCTCCAGGGTTACTTCACAGAAAGGGAGAGAGAGGAGGGAAGCACCCCTACCCCCATGTATTAAGTACGTACCAGCCCATACAGCATTTCATAAAGAACTGCACCAAGGCACCACCAGTCTACTGTGTTGTCATAGGGCTGCTTCTTAATGACTTCTGGTGCAAGGTACTACAGTTAAAAAAAAAAAAAAGTACTTTAGAGCGTTAGGCTAGCAAGAATAACACCTATATTTTAGTTACATCACAGTAAACCCCCTCAGGAAAAGCTGTGTGTGGATCTTGTCTTCCCACAAGCCTGGCAAACCCTTCGGCACCATCTGGGCACGTCCCAGGCAGGGCAGCGGTTCTCCCAAGGGGAACAAGACTTCCCACACTGCTGCTTTGCCAGACGACTTCACCACCTCTACTGTGAAACTTGTTTGACATTTCTGACGGGTCTCTGCGCTGCTGAAACCTGGCCATGCCTCTGCTGCTGTCCTGAGCCCATATGCTCCCCAGCCAGTGCATGGAAACAAGTCAGATACTATTTCTGCCTCAGATCTATAATTTCTGAGACACTACATGACCCATGTGAAGCCTCACTGTCAATCCACCAAGCACGGAGTGACCGTGCTGTCTGTGGCTGCATCGCCACCGCCTCAGTCCTCATCTGCAGCACAGGCAGTTTCTCACCTCTCAAAACAACAGGATGTTCACTGCTCTCAGTCTAGTATCCAAATTCTGAAATCTAATTTACAAATGACAGTGTTGCCAGAGAAGGCACAGGCTGAAACTCACAGTTCAATTAGAACAATATTTCTCAAACATTCTGTATGTGTGAGTGCCCTGGAACTCCTGTCTACAGGGAACTCTGCAAAAGCACAAAAAGCAGCTGAAGCAACAGTTACTCAACTATCTAAGCTTCTTCTAATCTTTCACAACCTCCTCTAATCTTGCTAGGTGTTGGAACTCACCAAGGCACTCAACTCAGTATCTACAAACACTGCGAGACCATTACACTTTTGGCAGGTTTATAAAATATTTGAATTTACATCTTGGATTAGAAAGGCTAATACACAACTGTGACATTTAGTCCCGGTAGTTTTAAGAACTTGTAGGAAGCAACAGCATTGGTGTCCTCTTACATTGCAATTTGTGCATGTCCAAGGTCAGTGTGAAGACTAAGCCTCTGAACATGAGGGAAAAAACCTCACAGATCTCAGATCTAGTTACCAGTGTTCCACATATTGTCCTTTGAACTGCCAAAATATTCCACAAACATTGTTTCAGCTCACTCAGCTTAACAGATTCCTACTCCGATCACAACTAGGATGAGTTGTTACACGTTGACACCAGTTTGGTTTTTTTTGTTTTTTTTTTTAATTCCAGTGTTTCAGCTAAATACTGCTCCTCACTCATCCTTTACTGCCTCCAAAGGCCTTTTCTGTAGCCTAAAGAATGGTTATCAAATTATCAAAGCCACTAATTCTGGCATTTCAGTGAATCCCTCATATGTGTTCAAGGCTTCCATATTCTAAGCTTTTCAGTGTAATTTTCTCAGAATTACACTGAAAATTAGTTCAATAAACTCAGTTGGCAAGTTCAAAGTTTCATGCATAGGCAAAATCTGCTCAAGACTCACAGATATTAAATCCCTATAAACTCAGTAAAATCAATGGCAGGACACTGTAAGATACTGGCAAATCTGCTGGAGCTGTTACAGAAGGTAACTGTCCTGTTCTAGCCAGTGGTTAGGAGATACAGGAGGAAATGATGTTTGAAAGGGCTGTAAAAAGTGGGGAAGGAAGAGATGTGTTATGGGAAAATGGGGAGTAGGGACGAGACCATGTATTAGTAAAAGGACAAAGAATAGTTCTGCAGGAAGCTTTATTTGTCCACTTCATGGAAGAGCTTGTTAAGAGAACGCGCATCTCCAACAGCACAATCCAGCATATTCAATCTTCCATTTACACAAATATTAACAACAACCAGCAGTCGTTATTACTAGCCAAAAACCAAAAAAAGTTATCAACATACCTCTGGTGTCCCACAGAAAGTTGCAGTGGTGTCAGAACTTGCAATCCCTTCTTTACAAAGTCCAAAGTCTGTCAATACGACATGGCCCTGTGTAAGAAAGCGGTGTTTAGAAACTGCGTACTCAACACGTGAGTCCAGCTAAGTGCCAGTTTTGTGAGAGAACACAGAAAACCAAAAATAATGTTGAATACTTACTAGTGAGTCTAGGAGAATGTTTTCTGGCTTCAAATCCCTATTTAAAACAAACAAACATCGATTCAGAACAGCAGTCACCAACATGAGAGCTTGAAAGGCAAGGACTTTTATTCTTCATCTGAAACCTTCAACTTTTGATTCAGGTTAGGTTCAAGTTTCCCATAAGATGATTTCACGTAGTGGTTTTTGTTCCTTAATTTGCCCTATTCTGAGCTCCTGCAGGAGAAGGCTACATTTCAAGAGCTTACCTGTACACAATATTTATGGAGTGTAAGTAGCCCAGTGCACTGGCTATTTCAGCAGCATAAAATCTGGCTCGGTGCTCAGGAAAGGAACGCTCTCTTTGTAAGTGAAAGAACAGCTGTAAATACACAAATATTAAATAAGACATTATACATTGGTTAATTACTGTTAAAATGACATGTTATTTTCTTTAGCTGCCAGCTCTCCTGGTTTGTTCAGTGTACTTTATACTTGTCTGTGTGTATCGAGCTGCAGCGACAGAATAGGAAACACTGATGTGCCAAAACAAACTAAAGTCTACCTCTTCTGTGCTCTTTCAGCTACCAGAGTTCTCATCTACAACAGTGTCCTGTCCCATCCTCCTTTCCTGTTCTGCTTTAAGCACCTGCAAGACCTTCTGAAGTGGGTGCATTTTACACTGATAAGTTACCAATTGAAAACAGAGCAACTGACAAGACACACAGCTCTTCTTACAGAGTCAATTTCTTAATAAGCTGTTTTCTTCAATCACAACAAATTTGCTAGGTCAAATTTACACAAACTAGCTAGGTCCAGGCATTATTAGTTTACAAGACCTTGATGTTCCACAAAACCTGAAGAAGCTGCAGCAACGTTTTATACCTCTGTCATGCATATTGGCTATTCAACTAGTTTATACATGATCTTCTTGAGCAGGCCTGGAAGCACTGGGTGCTTTGAAAAGCAACAGGTCCCTAGCGGAAGACAAACTACTACACAACATCTTATTTAAACACAGACAGACTTTCTCCATTTCTTTCACAAGTTTTCCCCCAGGCCAGTTACTTAATGGCTTTTCACATTCAACAGCATTGCTTCAAGGACAAGAACCCTGAGGAGAAGGTGATTTGGCAATATGCAATTAGACCGTGCAAAGCTACAGAATAATCCCAAGGTTCCCAATAATATTAGTATAGTAAATCCAGTTGCTCAGAGACTCAGTTCCACACACAGCCACTACCTACCTCTCCTCCGTTCACAAAATCCAGGACAAAGTAAAGCTTTTCTGTTGTCTGGAATGAGTAATGCAATCCAACCAGGAACGGATGTTTCACGTTTTTCAACAGCACATTACGTTCAGCCATAATATGTTTTTGCTGTAAGGAAGTAAAAGATCAGTAAGTAAAAGATTTTATAGTGAAGGGGAAAAGGAAGGGAGGTGGGTGGAGAAAGAATGTTTCTCTTCACCTCTTTCCTATTAAGAACAACTTTTTTCTGCAGCACTTTGACAGCATAGTATTTCCCATCCAGTTTCCGTTTAGCAAGAAGAACCTGTGAAATTCAAAACAAATGAAGAAATGCCACTGTTGCAGTCCATATTCTGTTAGGAATAATTTCAGCAAAACTGGAATGTATTCACATGCTGGGTTTTTTCCCACATGACAGTTTCTTTGCTTCCAAGTCAATCAGCAATGTGATCACCAGTAGCATAAGCTCACAGGTCAGTAAAAAAATCTGTGGTGACAGTGATGTCAGGAAAGACTGATTTTTTTCCATGACCTGCTGAATCTCTAGCAAAATCAATTTCATCTGGTTTTAGCCATTTTAAAGATAATTTATTGAAAAACAACTTGAAAAATAACCCCAGCCCCAAGATTTCAATAAGGACTCTCTGTTGTGCTGCTGCAGAGTACCAGTACTTAAGCCACTGTCACTCACTCCACAGTACCAGGGGGTTGACAGAAGAGTCGTTGCCAGCAATGGGAGACAGTGGATCCATCTGTACCCCAGGTGCTGTGTAGCACAGGGGTACCCCCTTCCTCTTGAGTGGGACACTGTCTCCTTACTGCCCCTAATGAGAACAGGCAACACTCCCTTTTGTTCCTCCCAGCAGTCAGTAGGCACAGGACACCAGCCAGCATCCCAGTGCCAGGGGAGGACACTGGGGTAAGAAAGCTCACCTTGCCAAAGCTGCCTTTCCCAATCACTTTCAGGAAATCAAAGTCTGTTGGTTTAGCACTGAAAGATATTTAGGAAGGAGACAGGTCATCTGGGTAGAAAGGACAAGCTTTATAGCTGTACAGCAGGCTAGGGTAGCACGTGAGCTGGAACGCGAGAAGAACCGTCTGTCAGTACCCTCTGTGCTCTTCACTCCACCCAGCACCCAGACCCTGCAGAGCCTCCCCTCCCTCGGAGACAACGGCGCCTCTTCATTTTGCAGTCCCCTCTTCCTCCAGGGAAAGCATTCACATTGCATCCTTTGAGCTTATTTTATAAATGTAAGGCAAAGATATAAAGGAGGAGCAAGACTGCTCTTTCAGTCTCCATAGTCTAGTTTCTTGTCATTTTTAAGTCTCCATTTCCCCGTGACTTTTCCTGGAGGTTCTCTCATTCCCAGAGGGCCAAATGGATTCTCAAGCTTACATGAGGGAAAGAAGGAAGGATGAGCCAAGTTTATTTTCTGTTCTCTCTTTGCTTATTCCATCCTTCCCTACATCCATTCATCCCTCATTTTAAATTAGCAGGAAAAGGGAGGCCCAAACAGCTTCCTCTTCTGCATGCATACATATGAATTCACTTCCAGTTTTTCCACTTCCCACATCACCACACCTTTCAGTTTTTTCCCCCCCCAGGATTCCCTTACTTGTTTCCTAAATATAATTCAGAGATATTTTGGTCAGCAAAACAATTAGCCATGTTTGCAGATTCCAGAAGAACAGTCACATCACCATAGACCTCTCTGTTTATCGCCCCTGAAGGGAAGTGCTCTCCAGTTTCATTTCATACTGCAACCCATTAAGCGTTTCCTCCTGTTAGCCCAGAACAAACCCGTGAGGAAAGCAAAGCTACAGGAGCAGCCATTTCCTAGATGAGAGAAGCAGATGTTCACAGAACCGGGAACAGCAGCTCTGCAGAAGGCACCAAACAGAGAAGCAAGTTATGCCTGCAGTAGCTAGTTCTGGAGTGTCAACCAGGCAGAGTTGCTCCTTTGCCATGCATTAGAACAAATTTGTTTTTAAAAACCCTTCACATTTTTAACAAGTCATGGGACTGCTTCAAAGAGAGAGAGTTCATCATTGCTACAGCAGACTAACAAAAACTGAAGGTGAAAAGGAAAAAAAAGAAGTCTTAAAAATGGTGATTTACCACAGGATTCAAAGTTTTTCCTCCTCCCAAGCAGCGCAAATTAACAACTATATAAAGGCATCTCTCCAAAGAACTTTTCACACTATTAACAGTTACACTCAGTCTTAACTTTTCAGGTTTTGAAATTAATTTTAATGAAATTCAATTAAAAAAAAGGATTTTACACTGAATTGAATTACATTTTAAAACAATTTATTTGAAACCTACTGAGGATTTCCAGATGGTCCCAAGTTGATATTCTGTGAGGTAGAGTTTAACTGTCAGGAGAGACAAAGAGGTTTATTTTTAATACTACTTTAAAAAGTCACTCTTACATTTCGACCACTATAATTTCAAAATACTCTACTAATTTGCTCAGCCCATACATTTACACTTACATTACATTTTTAAAGAAATCTAACATCCAGATTGGGAGCTTTCTAAGTGGAAATATCTGGCCAGCATCACGCTGTCCCAAATAATTTCTACACCCATCACATTCAAGGATAAAGGTAATAAAATAATTCTGTCCAGAAACAGAGGACAGGATTAGGAGTAAAATTTTAAGTGCTTCAACAAACAACTTGTTCCTCGTCCAGAACTTAACACGAGGAATATTTATCCTACATTTCCATGATCTTACCAGTAAAATAATTTCAAACCCACAGTTTATGCAAGAGCAATTAATGAAAAGACACAGTGCTTTAAAAAAGAACAGACACAAACACTTTCGCTACCCCAAGAAAAACATTAGCAACCTTTTCTGTCCTGACATTAAAGGTTAACTAACTCAATTCCAGGAATAACATGAATATTACAGGTACACACCCAGCCAGAATTTGTAACAGAGAGAAGAGGAAGCCACTGTCATTTAGGTAATTTTCTCTCTCTCTCTCTCTCTTTTTTTTTTTAATTAAAACAGCAGTATTTGTACCCTCATCATCACACGTTGGTACTGGTCAGTTGTAAATGTGCTATTTTTTATATAGAAAAGATTTTGATTTTTTTGTTTGTTTGGTTTTTTTAAGGCTTGTTTTTGTTCCTTTTTGCTCAGCTCCATCATTTACAGTATCTATGAGAAGGTGAAGTTTCTGTCACAAAGTATGGTCCAGGCCACTATGCTCTAGCTCTCCTCCTGCTCTGGAATTGGTTGTAGCATGACACATTGTTAATGTCACTCAGAAGGTTTAGATCATTCCACATTACTTAAAATACCTGTCAAAGGAGGAGGGAAATGGTACTTTGAATTAGAATTTTGCTGTGTGCTCACAGCGCTGTCAAGCCTTAAAAAAAAAAAAAGCAGCAAAGACTGGTGGTTTTGGAAGTGAAGCTTTCAGAAAACACTAAACCTGCTGTGGATCACACACAAACCAAGATGACAACTCTTACATCTTTAACAAGGGCTGAATAAGAAGTACTAAGATCACATCTGTATGCCCAGAAAAAAACAAACAAACAAACAAACAAAACCCAACCAACCAACAAAAAAACCCCACAAAGATAAAATGAGCTTAAATATGGCACTTCTGCCTTCCCAGAAATACTCCTTTTTCCTAAAAGCACTGTTTCTGGAGACTCTAAACTGATTTTCAGAGAATCCACCTAGCCACATAGGGGCTTTTGTAACAAAAGAGGTTTCAGACCTCACATGGTGCTATATGTGAAATTAAATCCTTCCTTGCTTCTGAGTGACTTTCTGAAAGACTGCATTTACACCCCCCCACCCTGAGAGAATTGTATTTCTCTCTCTCCTTACAAAAAAAAAAAAAAATTAAAAAAAACCCCCACACAACACAGCAGCAAACAGAGAGACAATTAAACATCCAGTCTCCCCTGCTCCTTGCCACATGTTCTTAGCAATAATCTTTGGAGACTCCAGGAACTGTGGCAGCTGAGCTGTGACTGAAGCTGTGCAGCAGGCGGGACGAGGCGAGGCAGCAGCCAGCGGTCGCTCCCCTTGGCAGCCACAGCCCACAGAGAAACTGCCCACTGTGGGCCAGGCTGGTTTAAAAGAGTGTGGAGGGGATTTACTGCAAAACCAACCAGTGACTTTCAGTAAGTGATACACCTACGATTGCCCTCAAGTCACCAAAATTTAGAATACTGTTCCACTTCTGGATTATTACCTTCTGACAGCTTCTTTCATCTTCATCTTCAGATGGGTCTGACTGGTGTTTTGGGTTATCCATCTGAAGGAATGCTCTGACATCCGGGCTAGAAACACAGTCACAGATAACCTGGGTGACTTTCAGACAGAACCACAGGGGGCACAGGATGACACAGCAGTGTACACATGAGTTACTCTAAGTTTTAGGTTTAAGTACTGTTTAATTAAAGACAAGAAATACTTTTCTAGAAGTATAACTCAGCTGCTGAAGGTCTTGCATACAGGACATGGAATTTCCCACTCGAAAAAAACTGACATGTTTAAGTATATGTATGTGAAGAGTCCATAAGGAACTGCTTGCAGAACTGCATTAAAAGGTAATTATTAGAGGAAAGCAGGAGTTATAACTGGCTGGCAACCACCAGGAAACCACCTTTCTTTCAAAAATCTGAAGTGTTTAAAACCATTTTTAGTTTTCCAAAATTAATGCAGCAGTCTAACACAACAGAGAATGAAATGCATAGTCTGTATCCCAGAGAGAGATGTGTGCCTCAAGAGATACACAGCAGTGATGTTCCTGTCGCTGTTCACCTTCCAGCAGGAGGTGATTTTGTATTTGGGATGCGTTCTGTCTGGGCACTGACAGGACCACGTTAAGAAATCCTTCCAGTCAGCTGAAGAAATCTTACCTAAATTTCAGAGATAAAGTTCTCTTGAGTCTCAGTGCAGCCACTTGCAGGAAATTCTGCCTGACCTGCTCAGCACAGGAGAAGCACTAGCAGCTACGGAGCTGGTCTTTTACCTTATCCCTAGCACTTATAAAGCAGGGTGGGTTTATGTAAGGAGCAGCTCTATTTTGCTACTTCAAATCCATTTCACCCTGCACAATTCTGTAAGGGTCAGAAGTACGAGATGAGATGTTTCTGACATCTCCCCAGCTCCCCTATCTCCCACTGGTATGACCGACCCACACTCATGCCCTGTGCCACATAGCCTCCATCACTCAGCATGCTGTGTTCCTAAACCTTATCTGACATCCGTTTCAGTCACCTCCAGCCTTCACATTTAAAGCACAGCAACAGGACTTCACACCATTTCCCACCATCATTTCAGATTAATTCTTCCCATTTTATATGAACTCCAAATTCCAACCTATTTCAGGGTCTATCTTGTATCCCGAGTCCCAGGAAGACAAAAACCACTATGGTTTGAATACTCCAGTAATATTGGCTCATGATGCAACAATTTCAGTTTCAGAATCTTTGGATATCATAAAATCAAGAATAAATAGTTATAGCTAGTTTTTCACACTAGACAGAACAACAGAACTAGACTTTAACTACCTTTCAGCATTAATTATTCTAGACAACTGGCTGATTAAATAGAGCATGTTGTAACACATCTCAAATAGCTACTCTAGTAACTTTGTCCATGACTGGATTCACAGCAGGGAGAAAAAAACAAAACAAAACGCAAACCAAACAAAAACCCCCAAATATTGAGGGTAAAAGGCTGCTGTGCAGTCACTGGGTATTCAGCAATCTCTGCTCTACACAGCAGCCAGAAGCCAAACCCATCAATGTTACATTCTTCACATCTGTAATTTCAAAAGCACTGCAAAAATGTAGCAATTAAACCTTAAATAAGTTTAATGTACCCATTTCTCAGCCAAGATTGCAGCATGTTATGCAACATGCTAGAGATTGGTATGACTTCTCTGCTGTATTAGCTCATACCTATTAACTCCATGTGTTTTAAAATAAACTACCCTAAAATGACCTCACATATGAAGTTAAAAGGATCAATAAAACAGTTTAAAAAGAGATCCTCAACATACATTGTATGTATACTACCAGCAAAAATTGATTTTGTCTGAATATTTGTGATTGACTGGATAACATTAGTTTATGGACTATCTCTAAAATCCACAAAGGGATTTCAGGCTCTGCCTAAACACAGTTCCTTCTGTGATACTTCTTTTCTGCATGAACCTTCCTGCAGGAACACAGGGAGCCCCACAAAAATGTTGGGCACACCTAGAAATACAAACAAGCCCAAAAAGTGACATAAATTTTGAAGCCAAATGGTAAAATTAATTGCCAGTTGACAGACTCTTAACATGGTTTATTTAAGCAATGGTGCCCAGCACCTCCTGCTCCACATATTAAAAAAAAAAAAAAAAAAGGTAAGCCCCTGCTCTTTTTTCCAGCAAGCAAAGGCTCAAAAAGCCATAAAGTACATCACCATTTTGAAAGAGCACAATTGCTGTAATGCAAGGTTTGCTCTCCCCAACATGGGCTGCAAGATCTTCCAGTCCAAGGGCCACATTCAGTTTTGTATTCATCAGATTCTGAAACCAGAACAATCTGATTTTCTGCCAGGGAAGATGTGCAGAATGTACAGAACTGGTAACTCATTTCCCACAGAGCACTCAGGGTATTGTCACCATTGAGCTCTTCAAGTGTTATGCAAATGGCTTCATTTTCATTAAGGAGCTACTTTAGACTATTTAAAAATAACTACATTACATCTCTAATGTGTCCTGGCTCATGTGCTTGGGTTCCAAGGGGTTTTCTCTGGAGCTGTTCTGACAATGAAGTGGGGTGACTTCCCAGCAGAGACCTGTGCTGGAGGGGTGAGCAGCCCAACGGGAGTGGTGATGTAGGGGGCTCACAGTGCTCACCAGTAACACTCCCAGCTCAGTCTGGGGCACCAGTCAGCAAGGGGGACACGTTAATCAGATCTCTGCCCATCTGACTTTCTTTTGCAACACCTGTGTTTGATCCACGATAGCAAGCTCTCTATCAGGTACAGATATCTGAGAAAATGCAGTTTGAAGCCAGTCCACGTACTTCCCAATTCGATCCAAGCCAAGGATCAATCTCTCCCCATATTCCACGTGACAGTGACTGCAGGAGGATCCTCATCAACCATTACAGAGTCTCTCTCAACACTCTAACACACCAACCAGGACATCATGAACCAACTGTAAGCTTTTAGTGAGTTTTCCTATGCAGGACTTAAAAATATCGCATCCTGCTACTGGTTCCAACACTCAGAAGCTGCAGTGGCAGGTGGACTTCCTTGGAGCTCTCTGAGAACGCGTAACCCCTCCAAGTCTTCCTTGTACATGTATGAGTTTACCCAACAGCAACTTGAATTAGCACACTACAGCAAAGCAGCCTAAGCAAGCTAGGACATGGATTATCTGTGAAGACTCAGTCACCACATCTTCCATGAGCAGTTTCTAGCAGATTTTACTAAAAAACCCCAGCAACCAAGGTCATAAAGTTTTGGTATTTCTTCACTAATAACATTCATTTGTACATAGAAAAGGCAATACATTATATAATCATCAGTATGATCTGTTGCAATGGAGCACTGCAAAAAGCAGAAGGTCACTCCAGAAAAGCAAAGTACCTTGCAGTTATGAAAAGAACAACAAATTACTGTGAAATCGAATGCTTTCACACCAAACTGTGCATTAAAGGCTGTTCATTGGTCTGTAGAATTTTCCTGAAGGAAGAGTCATAATAAAGTTTATTATACTTAAGAGCATGGAACAAATAAAATACATTTTCTGGTTAAAAGTACTTAATTTGTAATTTTGTATTTGACATCTCATGTCTTTTAAACAACCCTTATAAAACAGAAATGAAATTACTTACTTTTTGCATAGCTCTGGCTGTCTAACTAGATTTTGAATGAATTCATTCAGTCCTGCTCTTCTCTGTTTAATAAAATCTAAAAAAAAAAAAAAAAAATTTATGAGAATGATCAGTCAGCCTGCAAAAAAGACTTATTTTCAAATTTAGCTGTTTTTAGGACTTAAAGAGCAGTTAAGAAATTGGTTTGTGACAGTTCAGAACAGGATATGAAAATCACAAGGTTAAAACATTGAAGCAAGGTGAGAGAATAAACTTCAGTTTCTCTAACACCACCACTTTTCAGTGTAGAAGGCCAGGAACACCAAAAGCACACCAAGCCCTTCAGGACCTGACTCCACCTGGAAAAACCCCACAGGCAAAACCTGACATCAGCTGCACAAGTTTGTACCCTACGGGTCCCACCAAACCACACCTTTCCCTGATGTGTGTGGCAGGGGGAACTCAGGCAGCTCATCCCACCAGCAGGTGCTTGGATGCAAGTGTTAGAGAGGACTTCAGTAAAATGCTTTTCTCTCTATTTTGGACATCATCACTAACATTAATAAAAAAAAAAAAAAAGCCCTCAGTCTTCATCCTTATCCAAAGCTTAAGACACATGACTTTTCTTTAGCAATATGGAAAGACGTGCAAGGGATCTGAAGCAGGAGAGCTCTAACACAAAACACAATGTAAACCAGAATAATCTTGTCTTTCATTGTCCATATCAACAATAATTTCTACGGAGAAAGAATATTTAACTTGTGCATTAACTTTTAAGCTATTCCAACGACGCCTTCTGTCACATACAGATTACTGACAACTATTAAAATTTTAAATTAAATTTCAATTAAAAGCTGTATTTCAAATGTTAAGAAAAAAGTTTGTAAGTAGGGAATTTAATAGGAATTTGTTAGGGAATGTAACAATCCCACATTACTGACATCCAGCAAGAAATTTAAACTTCACTCTACTGCACTGCAGCACAACAGTACAACTCTGCATACCCAAGCAGGGACTGACAGGAGTAAAATGCCTTTACATTTGTACAATATGCAACTGACTTCAGAAACCAGCAGAAACATTACATCAAAGCTTCAATAAATCAGTGTTAAGATAAAGAATTATTCAAATGAGCATCATGGCTCTATCTCCACCCTGCCCCCTAGCAAGAAACATCTTGAGAACTCTTTAGTTTCTCATGCTTCGAGGATTTCAGCGTTGTTCATGGAAATTTAAAACAAGTCTGAGGTCTTTGTTTTACACATATAGTTTTAAAAAAGCTCCACCTCCATTTAAACTTCAGTTTTCTAAGTTTGTCTCCAAGAAATCCACCTGTACATTAGCTGGACAGCAGACCAGACTGTGTGGGATGGTCTCCAGCCAGCTCTGAAAACCCCAAGGTCAGAGAAAACGAAAGAAACCCAACCCAAACAAGAAGTTTCAGCAGACACATGTACATCTGCCTACATGTAGAATTTGTGGCCAATTTTTTACATCTTCACCACAAGAGGACATCAGAGCTTGCATACTTGCATTTGATTATTTTATTAAAAAGTAGAAGGGAGTTTCACATCAGGATTCAGATGATTAACTGTAACTGCCAAAAATTAATTTGTTGGAAAGAACTCTAAAAAATGCAAAACACATCCCAAGAGCTCAACACCTTTGGATCCATTTGTTCTTCAACAAAGGAGAAAATGAAATGCCTGAAACAGGTGCAGGAGGAGGTGAAACTACAAACACACCAGCAAGCCAGGGGAGGGTGGGAGATGTCCAGTGACAGTCAGGAGAACCCTGAAGTAAAAAAAGCCTGAATGAAGGGTACAAACACAGAGTAAAGGCCCAGCCTTCCCACCTGGCTTTTTATCTAGTCATTGGTGGTGCCACCTAGGTTAACTCAATGCACTTTACAACTGATTTTTCATTAGCAATTTGATGTGGACAGAGCAAGCTCAACTTGGCCCTATCTAACTTGATGATGTCATGTTCCCATCAGACAGGCTCCTGTAAGTGGAACAGTAACAAGAAGCATCTAAACTGCACAAGGAAGCACATCTAGATACAGAGAGCTCAAAAGCCTTCAAAGATAAATCCTATAGCTATTTCATTTTTCAGAGGGGGAAGAGGAACACACAGAGGAAGTCTAACATTTACTAGACATATGTTTAGAGGAGTCTGGGATTTGGCTTTTGCTTTTGCAAAAGAGAGATTATACCTGACAGCTCAGCATCTCTCACAGTCCTGAACAGAGGAAGGCTGGAAGGAACTACAGCTTCCAGTGCAAGAGAGGCCCTGAGCCACTAAGCAATGTTTTGTTGACAACCACAAGGTAGAACACCCACCTACACCAGTTCCTGTTCTTGACTGAAGCATGACTAAACTTTGGTTTAGTCACTGTTTTGAGGACTGGTGCAAAACTCATCTAAGAGAGCTTCTTGTAGGCTGGATTAGATCAATTTTCATATCAAGAAACTAACAAAGCAAATTACAAGATGATACCTTACCAGGATCAAAATTATCTCCAAATATTCTTTTAGCTGGAATCTTCAGGTTCATGGTGGGAAATTGCTTCTTTAGCTGAAAACAACACACACAATTGGATTGTGCTTAGACATCAAAGTACCTAGAAATAATTGCACTCTCTTTGTGTTCTGGTAAACAGTTTGAACATCTGATTATTAGTAATTCTGCTCCTCTGCCATCTTCTCTATTCACACATTTGGGAAGAAAAACAAACCTAAAACAATCTGTACTCAGCTGGTTTGCACCAGTCATTGCCTTTTAAATTCAAAGGCCATTTCACTTTAGAAAGCTACGGACTACTGCAGCTGTCTTCTGCAATGCTGCCAAAATGATTTTCCAGATTAAAAAAATTAGGCTACGGTCGTTTTATTCTCCTCTTTACTTCCCTCCTCCATCAGTTCTCTCTCGGGTTTGTTTTTTCTTCCTTGCATAGGAGTGTACATATGAGATTTAAGATCAACTGGGGATCTTAAACCTCTGTGTTTTGCCCATTCCTAACGCTTTAGAAACCACAGACAGTGTAGCCCTAAGTCAAAACTGTAAACGGATGAACAGCCTGGTTTACAATGCTGCATTTGACAATTATATTTTGCACTTGATAAACTGACCAGGAAATCATACACAACAGCAGTGAGTCTATCAAAGAACCTGACGTGAGCCAAGCCTCGCTTACACTTGTTTCATTTTCAAGCACTCCTGAAGAACAATCTTACTCCCATCCTCTTTAAGAGGGTAGTTTTCTGCTACAGTAGTTGGCAATTCTTCTGTCCTCAGAAACATCAGCATCTCCTCCAGCTAGCAGCACAAGCTCTTTTTGGTGTACTATACTACATGAATTCTAGAATCACAGAATGGTTTGGGCTGGCAGGGAGAAAAGCCTGACTGGTTCCCACAGGGGCAGTGGAGGCACAGATAAGCAGCTTTTAATAATTTCTTCTGGGAGTCACGCAGCAATTATTTTTTCTTTTGTTAAAGCAAAAATTGTGGGCTCTAAACATGAAGCATGGACACAAGGCACATAATAAATGGCACATCTGGGCAACTATTTGTTCCACCTGCCTGCTATGCAAATGGGGCAAAATCCTCTTCTAACAGCAAACGCAAGAAATCCAGCCTTAGCTGCTGAAGAGGCCTGGTTTATTTGGACTTCTGCCACAAGATTTGTTCCTGAAACTGCAGGCAGGAATTGCTATGACTGACTAAACAGAAAGTTTATATTAAGAAACAAGAAGTTCTTTACTGCTTTCAGTACTTCAAAGCAAAACATTTGTTTTAAGAGAAATTTATCTTGTTGGATGCTTTAAGTTTTGTGGTCATTTTTCCCATTGTGAACAAATGCACATTTCAGACGTTTTGATAACCAATAAATTGGAATTTTCTATGATCCCAAGCAGCAATGAAAAAAAAGTAACAAATAAGTGGATTCGGAGTTTGAAATTCAAAACAACCAACATTTAACAAACGCACCCTGCCATATTCCTCAAACAGAAGTTATTGAACGTTGACTCCAGCTCCTCAAGAGGGAATTAACTCAAGCCCTAACGCTGCAAGCATTGTCCCCCTGTGCTGCCCTGGCTCCTCTCACAGCTCGCCCCGCTTACTGTGTTGTAGAGCTTGTCGAACTCCGCGTAGCGCCGCAGCACGAACCATTCGCTCCTGCCCACCGACACCAGCACCTTGTACACCTGCAGCAACACAGATGAACTACTGACACTGCAATGTTATAGAAAACCTCACAGCTTTAATCCTGTGGTGGAAGTAAGAGCAGGCTGTTAAATGTGTACGTGTCCTTGTTGAGCTCTGTGTTTCTTACTAAGATATCAAAACAAGTTTGATCAATTAAAAGTATGTTTTTTACAGAATTTTTTAAATATACCAGGTTGGCAAAAACTAACACCAAAGCTGATTTAATGGAGTTTCGTAAACTAGTTCATATCCAAACAGAACACCTGGCGATTGGATAGAATTCTATAAAACTGCTGTACAATTTATAATATAACTTGACAATACATACCAAAGACTCATATTAAGGAAGTAAAGCATTTAAACTCTGAAGATTGCCTTCAGCAAAACCTGAAGAGAAAGCACCTATGGCAGGCAGATGGAAAGATAACTGTTCCTTGCAGCGTCCCGAGCACACGTCAGAGCCAGGATCCTGGCCAGTGACACAGCTGCTCAGGAGGCAGATGCTGCTGTGGCTGAAATCCAGCACAGGTCACACAAGCCCCAGCTGGTGCCTGCTGCACAGTCCTGGCTGTTCCAGTCCTACCACAGCAGAGGACTTGAGTAACTAGACAGACTGTCAATCCCTGGCTTCATGGACCTGGCTGACAGTGGAGTGTCCGCGGGCTTCTCCAGTCTCTGATGCAAGTAGCTGACCTCCCTCCTCCACCTTCTTGCACTTCCCAAGGGAGCCTGGCTATGCCTTCAGGGGAGAGGATGGGCACAGCAAGGAAACCAGTGCAGAAGGCTGTGAGTTCCTCCAGCAGAAAGCTGGAGCAATGCCCCAGTCTCTCCCTTGTCCTGCAACAGCAGCTTACCTCTCCTTCCCTTACACCTCAGTGGAAGTGGGAACAGCCACCACCATCAGTTCCTTAGCCTGACATTTGCATTCATGCTATGATAACTGCTCAAATAACCTGCTCTCAGTCTTCCCTGTGGAACACAGGAGGCTGGATAGAAGCATCAGGTAGAACAGTGATGAGACCCTTCTTACAAAACCACCTTTAGTTGCTGCTAAACAAGGGTTGGCATAAAACTGAGCTACACACTTTCTAGAGCCTCCCGAGTCTGTAAATGACAGCTGCAAAGACTGAAGTGCTGTCCTCCTGAGCCAGGCCTCTCCTACAGCCATCGGGCCCTGCAAATCATGTTCAAACACACGGCACCCTCAGTCCCATGAGTGCATGGCACACCAGTGCTACCCAGCTACAGAGGCAGGCCATGGACAACTTCATCAGCCAGACAAGGGGCACAGGCTGCAAACTGCCCAGGCAAGCAGCACTGTGGATACAAGATGACATTCACCCCCTTGACAAACTCAAAACAGTTTTGTTCTCAGAGTAGCTGTCTGTAGAACAATTTCAGAATCTACAGTTTTTACATGAAAGAGCATAAAAAAAAAACCAGATATGACTACTCCTGGTGGAGTTCACACCACCACCAGAGCTCTTGCGTACCCAACAAAGGAGAAACTCCAAGTTCAACAGTTATGGAAACAGAGAATGGTAAAAACACATATGATACCTACAAAGACTTTGGTGAAACCAAAACCATGTCTTTGGGCTGAGTTACTACTCTCATCTCCACCTATGTAATGATTTAGAAGATGTGCAATGCCTGTTTCTAGAAAGGTAATAAATTATTTTCCAAGATACAGACAGCAAAGGGTCCAGCTCTGAATGGGATAGACTTCTTCACAAAATAAGTCATTAAAATTAAAAGGTTTTGACTCTGTTTTGGTAGCTTATGATCCTGGATTAAATACTCAGTTTGCATTAAATAAAGATAGGTAAGAAGGGAGGCTGTTTTCCAATTTCAAGAGAGCAAGCACTCAGAAAGTAAGGAAAGTATTGTTAACAAAATAAATAAAAAAAACCTCCATGACTTCCACAGGGCTGGAGATTGGTGTTACACATCACAGGGCTGAGACAAAGCTTCCAGATATAGTCAGACAGACAGCACCCCTGAAAGAGATTTCTCAATAAGCCCATAAATGATGGAGCTGTAAAGGGAGACAAGAACGGGTCAGAAGAGAAAATTAAGCCTCAGACATCAAACAGCACAGGGATGAATGCAAGAAATCCAGAACAAAGCTATTCAGCAAAAGAATGGCCCACTATGCAGCCAGGACAGAAGAGCAACCAATATAGCCTAAATAAGGTCCCAAACAAGCAAATATTTTGCTATTTTTATGAAGAAAGTGAATGCTGAATCTTCAGAAAAAGGCAGGACAGTGAACTGGAGTGAACATACATAGAGGTTGGTTACCATGCATTAAGTGGAAGGAAAAAGCTTCCCTGTCAGAACACCCAAAAAATTCAAACATGAAATTATTTGTCAAGAAACAAATACTGGTGGTAAATAGATCTGTTTGTACTTAGTACATAACCAATTCCAATATTCAATAAAAGGTTATGAAAATGCTCAGGAGGAACGAAGAGTACAAGCTGGGATGGATCCCTTTTCCCTCTCCTCAGCCCCAATTTCTGAAGTTTCCTATCTTTGCCTGTACTATTTACTAAAGGGCATGCCCTAAGAAAGTGCCTTTAAGTTGCTGAGGTTGTCACACAAGATCTTTAGGTAAAGTGACCTGGAAATCACAGTGCTGGCACGTACCACACCGGCACATTTTACCAACAGATCTGCAAGCACTGAGGCAGTAAAGCCAATCTGGTTTGCTCAAGTTTAGGCTTTCATGAAGTTGCTCCTGTTTGTTTGAGTTTTACGTGCATGCAGTAGTTTAAAGCAGTTAAAGTTCTCTTTTGCATGTTCCCTTCACCAGCACACACTCCTTCCCCAAATGGCAACTTGATACACTTGTAGAATGGAACAAGCGTAGAATCACAGCATTATTCTTCTCCAAGGAAAGGCAGATACAGGTAACCCAAGGCAAATCTTTGTTTTGTTGTGTTCTGCAGACAGCAACTCAATCTAAGGGTGTTTGCATTCCACAGCTGAAGAGTGACCAATTCACTCAAATGAAAAAAAAAAAAAGAGCTTAGAGGAAGTTGCACAAGAGAATGAAATCATTTCAGCTTTTTAAAGGAACTATTACAATGCTGTCTTTATATCCCAGCACACAGCTAAGCAAACCAAAGGTCCGTGCCTCACTGCTTTGTTTTGCAGTTTGCAATGCAGTTTCCCCACAGAGAGGGAAGATTTTACTTCCAGAAAGAAGCGAGTCAGACTGGGGTGCCAAAAAAGGAAGTGGGGTGGGGGAATGACAAGGACTGGAAATGGGAACAGGATAGGAAAAAACTCACAGGCATTCGAATCAGAAAACAGGAAGGAAGACAGAAAAAGGTCTTTCAAAAATGTGATTTTTTTTTTTTTTTTTACACAAAACATTATAGAAGTATAAAAAAAGTGGTCATTCAAAAAACAAAGCAAGAAACCTAAACCAAAACCACACCTTATTCCTTTACAAAATAAACATTTGCATGCGATATCAGGTAGGGTGCCAAATCTTAAATCTAATTTCTTACCAAAATGTTAGCTCTGCATTTGGACACATGTATTTTATACACAAGAAAATGCTTCTATTTGGGGGTAAAAATACCAGGAACTTGTAAAGCCAAATTCTTTTTGCAGAAAGCAACACAGTTAAACACTGTAAAACATTCACAACTCCTCACACTGGACTATGGCCAGTACTCACAGGAGCAAGTGAATAGATTTCCACAAACCTGTTGAAAATAATACCAAACTTGCTAGCGGGGAGAAAAAAAAACCCAAAGAAAAAGGCAAGCAGCACTTTGTGGCCCTGGCAGCCCGTGTGCCTGCGGTGCTGCGCTCCTGCGTACTCACAGTGAATCGTTTCTTCTTCTCCCGGTGCTCGTCGGAGCTGGGAATGCTGACGCTGGGGCAGCTCTCCTTCAGATCCATCCCCCGTGGTCTTGTCACAGACCTGCTGCAGCACCTGCTTCCAGAGTGGCAGTCAGAATGTATCTTCAGGGACACTGATCCCAGATACGCAGCTCCTCTTGAGAAAACGTGAACTCCATCCTGTAATCTTAAAATGGAGATAAAAGGAAAATGAAGTACAGGAACACTTAACTCACAGTCCTAAAACCTGTGGGACAAGAACTTTTCCTGGCAGAAAATGTACTTTAGTATGCACATGTACAGCCACAATCATTTTGATACTGCAGACTGCCTCATGCCTGTGGTTCTCTGCTGTTTCACTGAAATCACTCACGCTTTGGGTCTATTACAGACAATACTTGGAAGATAGAGAAATGGAGAAATAAATAGAGTTGACAACCTGGTAGCAGACATCTGAGAAAAGCCATTAAGAGTAGAGTTCAGGAGAGTTTATTTCAAAAACAAAGGTTTTCAGCTGCATGAGTCTGTACCAGAGGGCATTTCAGATTTGTCAGAACATGCCGAGTGTATTTAATCCTCACATTAGAGATGAAAGACATGAGAAAAAATAATTTTTCATGTGAATTTTAGTGAGGGACAGCGGTGGCATCACGTGTCTGAGCATTTCCCTCCTCTGCCCCTCTCCCCCACAAGTGACACACGCTGTGTTTAGCAGGGGAGCCAGGCTGCCCCCAGCCAAACAGGAGAAGAGCACAAGACAAGAGAGGGGATTAAAGCCATCAAGATGCAGAGTTTAGGATTAACTGGCTGTCTCCTCAATCACTGAGGGACTCTATTCCCTACCCCTGCCTGGAGCACAAGCAGACTGTTCACAGGAAGTTCAGCACTCTCAGAGCAGCCCAAACTGATGCTAGTGCAGCTCCAGCTCCGCGCGGGCCGGCAGGGCCACCTGCAGTGCTTCCGAGCACACGGCTCAGAGCACGCTGCCTGAGCAGCTCACTGAAAAATCCCTCACACACAGGAGACCTCAGTTCTCTTCAGAACACCCAGAGGAAAAAGGAACGCCCAGTTCAACGTTTAACTCCCTATTTTCTTAAAACAGGCAAGTATAAAAGTGAACTGCATGTTTTATATAGTAAATTTCCAAAAAGCACAAACTAATCCAATGTAATTCTGCTATTAGAGAGACACCCATATTTATGTTGGCACGAAGGCCACAGCCCCTGGAGTCCAGTGAAAAGACTTGGTCTTGATACCCAACTAGTCTCAGTCAGTCAGTTGACTATTTTCTTCTCATCAAAAGCCAGATCATCTCTCTGGTTCAAACTTCATGTTATTTTCCCTCCTGTAGCAATTTAAAATTGAGTAATTTCCAAAGATCTATCTGGTGACTTTAAACAAAAAGGAGTGTTTGCAACCACTGTAATCAAGCAAGCAATAGAACATCCACACTGCAATATATTCCGAGAATTATTTGTAGTTCTGTCTTCATTTACTTTAATTTGATTGTTCCCTACCTCACTGATCAGGTATTTACAGGGTTGAGCTGGGTTAAGCTCCCTCACTCCCTGCCTTTGGTTATAACATGGCTCACACAAGCCAGTTACATAGACCCTGAGCTTCAAACTGTTTTCTCTTTCTCTTTGACAAGATGCTGTTAAGAACTTTACTACGACAAGGTACCGTTCCCATTTTCCACAATTTTATACTGGCATGGGATTAAGACTGTTCTTCACTCGTTGCCACACACTAAAGTTGGAATCTAAAGGTTAACTGTGCTCTTCTCCATCTTAAGAGGGCCACTAAAACAGTCCATAGGCACCACTTTCAGTAAGTGTTTCACTGAGCTCTTATGTCAATCTTTATCCACTTCAGGTCCAGCACCAGGAACTGAGCTCAAGTGCCTGTGTTTTCTATCTCTCTGCCCATCAAAATAACACAAGTAAAGCTTTAAAAGGGATTAGGTGTTCCCTGCCTAACACCACTCACCGTCTTTCTCCTCTTGTAAAGTGACATTAATTACAAAGGTTCCTAACAGCTTGCACTGTTTCTCACAATAAAGGCCGAACTTCTCTCACCCCTTTCATCTTTTATTCTTGGTGTCATGGTTTTAAATACCAGTACAGGAGCAGCATGGATTAAAAGCTGCCGTCCAAAGAGTGTCACTTGGAAGAGTGAGCTTTACTCCAGATCTGCATTGGAAGGTCTACTGAAAACAAAAGGAGGAAGTGTCACCCAGATTAATTCAGGAAGAGTTTATTCATCTCACTGGGGAAAACCAGAATAAATAATCTGCAAAGATGAAACTGCAACAACATTCAAATTTCTTTCTTCAAGCCACCTGGAAGGTCACTGGCTGTGATTTTCTTTCAACAAGGCATCTCCTCTGAGTTATGCCTGGGTCACCAACACCAAGCTGAACTGACAAACTTGGAAGAAACACATTTTCAGTTTGCTCCAGAGGCTCAGAGCTTGCTTTCAGTTTCTATTTGCCACAAGCATATCAACTCTTGAGAGGCTCTTACACCTGAACAGTAGGTCTGACTGCAGAAATAGGGACAGATTTGCCTCAGTCTTTGCCATGTCGTAGTTTAGGGACAGAGCTCAGTTTTAATAGCAGCTAAAACCACTAATGCTGTGGTAACTACATGAAGTAAACAGTAGAGATGTATTTTCATCCACAGCTTCCAGGGTGCCAACTGCAGCGTCTTGAGGGCTGCCAGATACAAGTCAATTTAACAGATACCTTCAGTTGAGAAGTCTCTGCTTTGGGTACAGCTTCTCCTGTAACTAAGAACAAGCAGCCCCTGGCCTCAACTTTGATAACAGGCAGAACTACGAAGGAACTTGAGGAAACCAGGTAGCAAAACACACAACCCTTAAATCACAGTTAGGCAGCAGTGAAGGAGCACTGGAGGCAATGTGAGGCAGGTCAACACCGAGACCCCTGCTGTCCAGAAACAGCTAACGAGGGGAAGGCACAAGGGATCAGAATCACACCAGGTTTCAAGCCTGCCAACAGCTACACTGCCTGTCCTCTCCATGGTGGCTGTCAAAGGACAAGCAGTATCTTCACCATTTCCTGCAGGAAGCCACAACAATGTCAGATTTCAGGCTGACCCTTGCCTCTGGTGAAGTAAGAGCACAGCAATAACAAACGTGACTCTCCAAGAACACCTATAGGCCCACTATGCCCCAAAATCAAGACTTTTTGGAATGAATTACAATGAAATATTTTGTGCAACCTCATATCAGCTACATGCAACAGGAAACACTACGTAGTTTAGCAATACACAGCAACCTCCTTCTAACTCCTTTCTATATAAGCTAGATTCAAACTGTATTAGAAAAGATTCCTGAAGTTTAATCAGATTATTTTTTTCCTGTACTGACACATTTTCTTTTTTAAATGATAGTGGCCTGAAGATGATACCACTGTAAAACCAAAGCCCCTTGTTCGGTACGTTTATGAGTCAATCTCTGCCAAGAATGTTCAAATCTACCTTCAGAAGCTGTGTACGCACCTGCTGCCTCTTCAGCTGTAGCCAAACTGCCTCAAACACCTCTAAGGCCAGTGCAAAACAGCTATCACACTCACTCCAACCCTTCAAATAATACAAGGGGAGCAGGGACAAGAGCAGTCAAAAAAACCCACCCAACAGACAACCTCCCCGAAAGCACTCCTGGAAGAATCACCAGGATCCACACTCACTGTTGGAACAGGCCTTTCCCCATACACTCGTCATCTGCCTCCAACAGCTTACTCTAGGACTGAGTCACCAGTAAAACCAGCTGGTGGAAGTCTCACCTGAGTGCAATTCCAGTTACAGAAGGAAACGTGCATATGCAGAAACAGAAAGCAGGACACAGGCCTGTTATTCACTGTAAAGATTAATATATTTCCTCTTACTTTAGAGAAAGTCTCATCTTTGGCATACTTTTCATCACTTCCTCAGTCTCCTCCACAAATACCCTGATAATGACTCAGCACATCACCAAACATTACACAACCTTTGAGGAAGCCAAGAACTTCTTAACTGCTGTGTGAGGACACAGATTGTCCCACTCTGCTTCCCAGACAAGCAGCTGACACACGGGAAGTGGCAGATACTCAGAGTCCTGTGCCACAGAAAATATAGGAGAGCCAGGGGCTGCAGGAGCAGGCCCATCCTTCAGAAAGAGTCCAAAGCCAAACACAGGGTGCTAGCCTGTGAACAGAGACTGACGGCCAGAAGCTGCTGAATAACCAGGTTCTGACGAAGACAGGTTTCACAGAGGCCATCCTTCTCCATGCCACATACAGGTGATTTTTCATACAGGAACACTAAACACCTGTGTACACCCCTAGAAATACTCCAGCTGAAGCAAAATGAGAGCATTAACCAAAATGCTCTGGCCAATCCTTAGCTCACCTCCACACTCCCTTCTAACTGTAATTTGAGAGGAGAAGGGAGAGTGTGGTATGAAGGAAGATGTCTGCTCCCCATTCACACACCCACCCACTGCCTTGCATTTTTTAAAATCTCTAGTAGCACCGCTATGGAAAGCAAACCACTACTCTGCAGCAATGTGGGCAAAGTCCAACTCAACCGAGTTTTTCTACTTGTAGAAAGGAGAAGGAAAAAAAAAAAAAAAAGAAAAACACAATAAAGAAATAATTAACTTTTTTTTTTGTCTCTGTCAAGTTTACTTTGTAGCAGGCAGGCAAAAATTTCCTTCCCACAATTCTACTGCACCCAAGAGCATCCCTTCCGCCCCACCTCCCAAAATAAGCTCCAGCAAATCACCCCAACTGGCATGTAACGGGATTCGTGGCTTGGATGGATCTCTCTGCACTCGTGTTTGTTCCACGACAGAAAGCAGGTTCTTTGCTGTGGAAAGCAAACCCTGCGGAATAAAATGGGTCTGAAGAACAATACTGCCAATGAGAAGCAGCTGTCTTAATCCTAAGCACAGGTCCATAATCATTTCATCTTTAGCTGGTGTCCATAGAATCTGGAAAGCTCACTACATGCCTCAGACTGCATGACTTACAGAAGCAGCAGAACACATTAAAAAAA